ACTCGCGCATATATACTTGGACTAATAATCATATCGTTCGATCGATCAGGCTTAGTTTAGCCTATAAAAAATTGGTTAACAAATAATTGTCCAATAATAGAATACCTAAATGTCTGGACCGGTCCTCTCTCGAGTGGACAATAATATTTAATTCTGAAGAAGTATTACGAGGTCAAGATTTCCGATTGAACGATCGGGACCCTGATCGTGGTGGTGTTGTTGTCTCATCCAAGATTTCTTTTTCTTAACTTTTATTATTATTACTTTCATTTTGATCTCGAAATATATTATATAATATATTTGTATTTTATAAAAATATTCTAGAAAATCAATGATCAAAATCGATTAGTATAAGTAACCGTGTTCCGATCGTAGAAAATAATCTCAGCAATCAGCGGATTGAATTTAAAATTTGTTCCCCCGGTCATTCCTTGATGAGGAATTTGCACGCATGCGCGGAATGGTCTGGGGAATAATGTGCGGCCGTGTTGTAAACCATCCGCGACCACTGATGGACGTGGACCGCGTGATCGGCATAATGAACGCTGATCATTGCCTCGACTATCTGGTTCGCCCACTCGCTCATCATCGAGAACGACACTTTACCCCTCACCTATCTATCTGCCATCATCCTTTTACCCACGTCACTGCTCACCCAATACCACTATCCCTATCCCATCCCACCCTTCAATCCTCACCTAACCCTGTCACCCAACACGATGCATCATCGTCGTTTCTCTGTTCGTCCCTCCTACCGTTTCTCTTTCTCTTCTCGTCAGCGGTCATGATAACGAGATGACCTCGGAATAAAATTGATTCGGCTAGCTCGTACGTTCAATGGCATCAGAAATACGAGCTATCAACAACAACAACAACAACAACAACGTTTAAATTTCATCCCCGAATAGATGTAAACCTAGTTTTCTATTTTATTAGATCCAATCCAAATGTACGATTTTTGTTCTTGGGTCAAATTAAATAGGATTATTGTGTGTTCGGTCTCTAAAAATTTGTTTGTTTGTTTTTGTTTTCATTTTAAATTGGTTTACATTGAATCGTTAATTAAATTGGAATTGTTGAAATTCCTAAAAATGTTTCCACAATTATTCTATCAAACGATAAAACGTAATTGGGTATTTGTGAGAGAAAAAATGTGTTTAAATGTTACAAGAGCTTGCAGAGTGTATGCAAAATAATTGTATTATCTAAACATCGATAGAGACAATTCTTTATAGAAATCTATAATCACAATATAATATATTAAATACTTAACGGAAAACGAAATGACATAGTTTTTCATTTGAACAAATGAATGTGGTGTTGTAGTATCATCGATAATGGGCCGACCCATTCATTCAGATACACTCGTTTTTACTTTCAACATTGGCGTATGCGCGTTATTTCAAACCGCAAATAGCAAAATAAAATAAAACAAAGTAAAACAAAGCAGATCAGATCAGATCAGATCAGAGCAGAACAAATCACAGAAGAGAACAAAGTAGATTGTTAGTTCTCTTCTTCTTTTTCTATTACGGAATGCAAAAAACAGGATAATAACGTTACCCGACAGCTCTTGTTACGTTATCGACGTTTTACGAGCGAACGACAAACAAACACGCTGATTGGTTGGTTGGTTGGTACCATTCGTTGATTCTTACGAAGGCGAGTGACCGCAAGAAAGAAAGTCTCCCGGAAAGCACAGTGTTATTCGTTCTCTTATTCTGCTGTATCAAAGATACAACAGTAACACACACAAGCACACACATTATTACTCTACTGCAATTCTTGTCACGAGAACAGTCATCGAACGGTGGCAAGGTAACCCAAGCGAAACCGTAACGCTTGTTCGTCCTCGAACAACACAAACGATCCGCGAAACTACTCAATTTTTTTTTCCCTTTTTTCTTGCTCCTGTTTTAGTTTTTTTTTGTTTCCCCTTCATCATTCCTATCTTCATAGTCTAGACCTTACACCAAGGATTTCGCAATCCGATTTATTCGAATTTTTGTCGCGCGCGCGTGTGTTAACACTTCCTTTTTTTTGAATTGGTTTGTTTGTTTTTTTTTGTCAACTAATTCTCGACAATTTATCAAATTGACGTTTCGAAAGCATCGGATCGGATTGTTGAAAATGGAACTTAACATAAAACAAAAAAAATGGGATAATTTTTGGCGAACATGATTTATTCTCTACCCTCCTCCCCCTCACCACTCGACTCCACTCCACTCCCCCCGTTTCATGTTAAACGTGTCATTAATCATTGTCCCGGACAATGAACTCGTATACGTAATTAACATATGGCTATTTAACGTCACTGATATACGCAATAATACGTACGATGAATTCTATGATTCTATATATTGGGTGTCATAAAAAATAAATGAATTATATACTTGTTTGTTTTCGTTGAAAGAATTTATTAAATTTTTCACGTAACAGACAATTTTCCTTATCTCAGAATGACTCACCGAAATATTCGAAATATTTGGTCGAAACAATTATTTTTAGCATAGAAATAATGTTGCCCTTTGTTGTTGTTAAATTTCGATTCTCGATTTCGTTTTTACAAATCCAAATTTAGTAAGGTAGAGTATGTGTCATATAATCTGTGCATCAAATTATAGTCATTTGTTTTTTTGTCTTCATAATTTTGGTTAAACTTTTAGTATCATTGTTATGATGGGGCAAAACAAAAAGAAAAACAAATTGTTCAACATCAGCCAAGTTTGATATCGTTTCGAAGAAATTTTTTGGACGCTTTTAAAGATAAATCCTTTATAAAAGTGTATTTGGACATTGACGATATTTGTCCAATGAATAATAAAAAAAAAAGAAGAAGAAGAAGAATAAAAAAAAGAATAAAACAAGAAAAGCACCGAGTAGTTCTAGATTCGACCTTGTGCTCGAATGCTAGTTTCCGTAGCCACAGTCAATGATTATCTCCATATTTTTCTTTTAACCTCTTTGCTTAGCATCGAAGAGGTCGGTTGGACTTGCATAAGCGTTAAATCGTGGTCGTTACATAGCAAGTGTGCCCTGGAGCCTCAGAGTACGCAATTTGACGTATTTGGAGCAGAATAACAGTGCGCCGTTGGTTCGTGATCGACTTTTTTTTTATCCAGAAGAAGGAAATAAAATTGGCTACAATCTTTTCTCATACAATTCCAGACCGAATCGGGCTAAGAGGTTCGAATAATAAAAATAATGATAATAAAAAAAAACACAGAGAAAAGGAAATAAGGAAAATAAGTATAAGTTATTCGACGTTTAAGAATCAATATTAGGATTATCATTTTATTGTCTAAGATTTATCACAAATATGTACATAAATTTCTGCATAGTTTTCCATCAATACGAATTGTCGTATATCTCTCGAAAATACAAACGAGAAAATTTAGGATTAAATTAAAGGGAAGATGATTTAGCGATGAATTTTTGTAGATAGGGGAACGGAGAAAGGGAGTAGTTGGGATGATGCAGCATCCATTCCATCGAGCTTGGCAACAAACTACTACTACTACTACTACTACTACTACCATAACCATCATCACATTACTTTCGCTAGAATAAATAAACCACTCAAGGAAAGCGCGATCTGGTTTGGCGTGTACGCCTGTATTTCACTCAGTAACGCGCGGATTCTTTCTTAAGTGCAAACAAACAATCTGGCTAGCTAGAAGAAACCGATGAACGTAAAGTTAAGTTAGCTGTTCAATTTCATCGGTCTTGGTATACGAATTACATACACATACCAACTGTAACATACGTGTAATAATCTTTTCACTGTTAAATAGGTAGAGGTAGGTAGGTATAGGATGAGATTGGAGAAATTTTGTTTATATATGTTCTTTTTCGTAGAATCCCATGAAAGAGAAACATGGCAGTAGGAATACAATTGATGAAGAACGTTTCAAACTTTCTTACTATCGATAATATTCAAACGGTCCATACAAAAACGTTTGCTTTATTTCGCGAGAGAGAGAGAGATTATACAAAAGTATAATACTCTTTGAAAGAATCTTTTTCAATTGGACATTATAAGGAAGGAAGGAAGGAAGGAAGGAAGGTAATCATCAGAGTCGACTAAGAAACTTGTCGAGTTAATCGTTCCTTTCGAAACCTGCTTATTATCCCCGTACCAAAAAAGATTCTTGTAGGAATACTGATTTCTATAGAATCAGAAATATTCAATCCTATGCACGTAAACTAAAAGTCAGAGTACAATTCCTATAGATTTCCCTGCTTTTTTTGTAATCTCGATAATGACTAGTTAGTTAATAATAACATATATTCCTGAGTTGTCTTTAAATTGTCTAAATTTGTATAGAGAGAGAGTGAATGGGAAATATAAGAATAAAATCTAAAGGACTCACCGAACCATCCTGTCGTGACGTTCCCTTTCAAGAAGTTCCTCTGGAGTAGGGGGTTGAACAGGTCCGAGTATACCAGGGGGTAATGGCGGATGATATCTCGGTGGCCTCCAAAGCATCTCGCTAGCGACGGCAGGATGGTGATGTCCAGGTACAGGATTTTGATAGACCGGTGGGCCCGCCGTTGCAGCAGCTGCTGCTGAACTGCTCCCGGCATTTGGTGGAGCCTGGGGATGTGCCATCAGTAGAGAGGTATGTTGCACGCTCTGAACGTGCCAGACTCTGGCCGGGGTAGCCGCCGCGTTAGGCGTCGAAGAGCTCGTAGTCTCCTCGACGCTAAGCGCCGAACTCCTGCTGCCGCTCCTCTCGTCACCCGAGCCCGCACTCCTCAGGGAACTTACCCCGCTGTCGGAGCCGCTGTCCCCATATGCACCTGCAGCACCACTCGCTGCACCACCACCAACACCACCACCACCACCACCACCACCACCACCAACACCACCACCACCACCAACAGCAACACCACCACCGACGACACCGACCGCACCCCTAACGCCGCCAATCGCCCCACCGAGGACGCCAGCAGTTCCATGTATACCGGCCCCGGTCTCCACTTCCATGAGGCCGGACTCATCGCCCCCTCTCGTTGCGTGGGACTGTTGTTGCACCTCGAGTAGGCTCACCGAACTTAAATTATGATGATGCTGGTGAACTTGTTGCGGACTACTCGCTAATTGTTGTCTATGCTGACTTCCACTTGATTGTTGTTGTTGTTGTTGGTGATAGAGAGGATGATGGATTACCGGACTATCGGCCGAGTATCGTTGCTGTTGCTGTTGCTGTTGCTGCTGATGATGATACGCCGGATGATGGTGATAGGATTGTTGTTGCTGTTGGTGCGCTTGTTGTTGTTGCTGTCCCTGCGGTTGGTGCTGTTGTAGGTGTTGCTGTTGTTGGTGTTGTTGTTGCTGCTGATGATGGTGATGGTGGTGGTGTTGTTGCTGCTGCTGCTGTTGTTGTTGTTGGTGTTGCTGTTGAACCTGCTGCTGTTGAGTCTGTTGTTGCTGTTGAACCTGCTGTTGTTGTTGGTGGTGATGTTGTTGTTGTTGTTGCTGTTGTTGTTGTTGTTGTTGTTGTTGTTGCTGATGGTGATACTGGTGGTGATGATGATGATGATGGCCGGCGACCGGCGGTGGAGGCTTGTTTAATTTTTCGGCTAGAATGACAGGGCTCTCGTTGTGCCGACTACGTTCTTGCTCCCGTTGCTGTTCGAGGAGCAAATTGTTCTGCCTCCCAGCGCCGCCGCCACCGCTGCTAAGTGGACTCAGCCTCTCCAGCACGGAGCCTGAGTCCTGACTACTCGACTCCAGCAGCTCGACGACCGACTCAACGCTAACACTACCCACGCTATCTTCCGTGCCTAGCTCGGCGTTGTTTGGCACGGTTCTTCGAGGTGATCGTTCTTGCGCCCCACGATCCTCAACTTTAACTTCCTCCTCTTCCTTCTCCTCTTTCCTATCCTTTTTCCAATCGTTTTTCGGTCTTTCCTCGCCGTCCTTTTTCCTCTTGGATTCCTCCTCAGGCTCGGCCCCAGCCTCGGCTTCTCCACCCTCACCACCCTCTCCTACTCCTCCTCCGCCTCCTTCCCCCTCCCCTTCGACAAAACCCTTCGCCACAGTCGTCGTCGTCGTCGTTGTCGACGACCTGGACGATCTCGGCGACAACTTTAACGATTTACTTTCAATGCTATCTGCTGCTGTTGCTGCCACCTCCTCCTCCTTCTTCTTCTTCTTCTTACTCCTCTCGAAATCCGAATCAACGATAGAGCCATTCACGACAATTGACTCATCCGTAATGTTCTTATTTGGGTTCTGTTGTCCATCTAACGTGATCTCAGGATTCTCCGAAGTAACCTTAACCCCGGGATCGAGTCTATCATCCAAAGGTGGGGGCTCCGGTTCCTGATCTCGTTCTCTCGACTGACTTTCCTTGTCTTCCTCTGACTTGTCCAACCGCCTTTTTACACCTTCTTCCTCCTTCTCCGGCTCCCCCTCTTGCCCCTCCTCCTCCTCCTTCTGCTCCTCCTCTTTCTTTTGTCTCTCTTCTTCTCTTGTGTTCTGCTGTTCAATCGGATTTACACGATCCACCAAAGATTCTTCCGAGTTTTTCGACTTACGTTGATCCGATCTTAACTTTCGACCAATCGGACTTGTTTTCAGTCTTTTTGATAAGGGATCGTTGTGTTGTTCGTGTTTTTCTTCTTCTTCCGTATGTTCAGATTCTTCTTCTTCTTCTTCTTCTTCTTCTTCTTCAGATTTATTACTACTAAGACGTTCCTCTTCTTCCTCTTCTTCCTCTTCCTCTTCTTCTTCTTCTTCTTCTTCTTCTTCTTCTTCTTCTTCTTCTTCTTCTTCTTCTTCTTCTTCTTCTTCTTGTTCTTCTTCTTCCTCCTCTTCCTCTTCCTCTTCCCCTTTAGTTTCGTTAGTTTTAACTACGCTAGTACGCCTACGATCTAATTCTTCGTTATCCTTTTTTCCCTTTTGCACGCACGGTCTCAATTTCCTTCTAACAGTTCGTTTAGTTACACTTTCCAATAAACTGCGTAACGTAACAGCACGTTTTCGCAATTTCGTCGCGCTACCGGTACCACCACTGTTTGTTTCTTCCAACGTAGAACGCGATATACGATTGGCAGAAAATCTACCTGTCGCAGTGGGGGGCCCCTTGTTTTCTCGATCCTCTTGTCTAGTTGACGACGATAAAACAGGCTCGTTATCCTTTTCTGTTTTGTTAACGCCTTCGCTTATTCGCCTTCTACGATTGTTGTACCTTGTAGTTGTGCTTTTATCTGAAAACAAAAAATCAAAAAAACCATTTCCCTAAGTGTTACAATTTTTAATAAGAAGAAGAAGAAGATTCAAACAAATGGGGGATGCAATTATTATTAATCTCGATGCTCCTAACAAACATTTCAAACATTTTCTTTGGGGATTAATATAAACGAATATAATGCACGAAGATATATAACAAAATCTAATACAATTTCACGTTAATGTATACACTATCGTATAAACAAAAACATCATACAATTTTAAATCATATTATCGTGAATTAACAATGGACAAAATTTCATTTAAATAATTACGAACAAATAAATATTAAATTGTAAAAATATATCAACACGATGACGAATATAACAACCGTACGTAATATAATAACAATTAATTTTTCATCGTTAAGAAATCCCAGATATAAATGTTAATCTCCAGTAAGAGGCACGCTAGCAACGTGCCACGTCATTTCTCTAACCGCGATTCTCGGTGACCTCGATTGGAAGTAACGTTGGACAGAGCATGATTCAGGATTTAGTAGTAAAGGATCAATGCACATATCCAACGGGATGAGATTGGGTTGAGGATAGTGAGGAAGGTTGAGTAGGTGGAGAGAACAGATTAACGTTGGTATATACTTCAGTTTCCGGTCCTCGTTGCACACATACACACACACAGAAAGAAAGAGAGAGAGGGGAGGGTTCAAGGGGTCTACGACTAACCCAGTAGATACATGACTGTAGCATGGGAACGATTTACAACAACCATACACGCAATACACGCATTCTGGGCTCTCGAGGAAAGGCAGCAGAAAGAGAGGAGTGGATTGGTGAGGGGTTTAGAGGGGTGGCGAGGGGTTTTAGAGGGGTCGGCGGGGGCGGGGCGGGGCAAGCAAGCAGACACAGGTAGAAAGAGGAAGAGAGAAGGAAATAGGGAGACTGAGAGGAGAGGGATTTATTGCTCAGGATTTACTGTTATTACCCGGAGGGGGAGAAACACTCCAACGGGCAACGCCGTTGCATACGTGGGGTGCGTTTATCCGATGAGGATACACCGAGTATTTGCGCGTGCGTGCGTATGTACATGCGTGCGTTTGTTAGTTACATTGTATACGTGTCCGTGTATACCTCCACTGTTTAAAGGTATGCGTATAAGTGTTTGAGCTTATGTATGAGTTGCTGGATACATTCGTGCAGGCTTTCGATGTACGATGAGGACGAGGACGAGGACTACGAGGACTACGAGGACGATGAACGTCCACACGCGACTGCGCTTACAACTTCGATGCTATCCGCAACGACCAACCAACTGTTTCCTAGGATATGTGTGCTTTGTCGTCCTGTTCAGTTCAGTTCAGTTCAGTACTGTTCTGTACTGTTCTATTCTGTTCTGTTCTGTTCTGTTCTGTTCTGTTTTGTTCTCTCTCTCTCTCTCACTTTTACATACACAAACAGGCACAGACAGTCATCCTCTTCTCTCCTCAACCCGTTTCGCATGCGTAGCGTCCTATCTAATTGAACGGCGCCATTGCAGCTCATTCCGCATTCTTACACGAATGCCTTGGCTGGCGTTGTTTGCCTTGCATTTAACCCGATCGAATGAAACGTTGTCTCGTCAAACTAGACAATCATATTCTCTTTCTCTCTCTCTTTCTCTCTGTGTGTGTATGTCACATACTTTTATTTATTTGTTTGATATTTTTGATTTTTAATTGAATTCTTTTTCAGATTTAAATGTAGTAATTGTAAATTGATATTATCGATCAACGTGTTACAGGTCATTCTAACACGACCTTGAAATAATATTTCATTCAATTATCGTTATATAATATTATAATTATTAGAATTGTTGTTATTGTTATTATTATTATAATTATAGTTTAACGTTAGACTAACTTTAACATGTAATTTCAGTTTTCTAATTGGAAATATTTAATTAGGTGTTCTGTTAACATATCCTATATATAATTAGGATGTTAAAATATGAAATAAAGTGGTCGTCATAGGTAAAATGGAAGAACATTTTCATCAATCGAAGTTTCTCTATGGGTAAAGTTTCCAAATACTGTATGTGTGTGTTCAGTAACGTAACACGTCCCCAAACCCATAGTGGTTTAGACGAACGGAGATGGTTTCTGCATTGAGGCTATGGTGCTTTGACAATTACGGTAATGAATTAAGTGTATTCGGTGGTAAGAAGAAGAAGAAGAAGAAGAATAAGAATAAGAAGAGAGTTGAACAAGGGGGTGGGAGGGGGAATGGAATTCTCGCGCATACAGCTTCGCGTCGTTTATCGAATCTACTCTCGAAAATGGGTGGATGGAATGGAATGGGATGATGGTAAACTTCGATCAAACTATCGATTCCACTTTCCCAAATGTTTCCTGGTTACCTTGCGTTAGTTCACTTTAAATTGGTCACCCGTTCAAACTACCCTCCCCCACCTACTCTCTCATTAACTACCAAATGGTGATGATGATGTTGCTTCCTTTGAAGTTTAACTGTTCATCGTATTTATCGTTTTGTCGAATACAAACGAGAGAAATTAGATTTTAGTTTATCAATATCTCTATGATTTCATTTAATTATATAATACTTTTTGAAAATACAACATATCATTGATGATTACTTTGATAAAATTGATCATTCAATTGTTGAACAATTTAAATTCGATTGAAAACAACTAATCCAAATGATTCTCATATTTTGAAACGAATCGTAATCCCCGACAGGGAGGGGGTACGGGGACGGGGGTCACGGGGGTATGACAAATAGGATCGTTTATGACAATGTTAAACGAAAACGATCACAGTGTCCATGAGAAATGAACCTAATCGATCGATACCAAACGAGGATATTCGTCAAAATAAGGTTTCCCGTTGGGGTCCACCTATTGTGTAACTGGGATTCCAATGGAATAGAATTTTTGGTTGAGCTGTTACAAAACTATCGTACTATTAATACGAATGTGTATACTGTCGTTGAATAGATGAATCGAACGTAGTCATTAAAACAAAATAGTTGATCAGAATTTGGCTAATAAGAAAGCCATTGTATATATTCAATCACGAGAAACAATGCCAGATGATCACGATGCAAAATGTTTGATAACTTGCCAGAAATTTGTTAAAGCATTAACGGAATTCATCATATTCTTATTCTAATTCTTGCATCATCTAATTAACATTATAATATTGTTTTATAAACAATAGTATAAAACCACGAAACATCGTTTGTCACATTGTTTAAACTAACATCTCGAAAAATGTCAATTATCATGAATGAACAGGAAAAAAACCCCCTCCCCAAAAAAAGAAATAAAAAAAAAGAAAGAAAGAAAGGGGAGTGGGGGAAATTGTATATTACATTAAATGAATGATGTGGTCACAAGTAATGAAAGAAGAATTTATATACGATAAATGGATGATCATGTTTTTTTAATCTATCAAAGATTAATTGGGGTCGGTTTGTTACCACGTTAAATAGGATAAAAAAATCTATATATATATATATATATATTTATTATGTTAGATAAAATGTGGCATCTCTTGCGGTGAACCAGAGTCTGTCAGGTTTTGATAGTGGTAGAGATACGATAACGAGAATCTAAAATCGTCGAGTGAATGAACGACGACGACGACGAGTTGGCTAACGCAAAAGACACTGTTCATGGACACACGAAATGCGGTGTCTCTTTTGGCATGGCGTCTCGTCTTCCATGCTTATTTTAGAGTCAGTCTATTTCTGCTTGATGGCCTCCTCTCACTCTTACTTTATCTCTATCTATCTATCTATCTCTTATTCTTTCTCGCATCTTCTTTCATTTTCTTTTTCCTTCTTCTTCGAAAACTTCAACGGAGATAGGGAAAAAGAGTCCAACGGTCTCCCACGTTTTCGGTTTCGTTTTCGGTTTCGTTTCGTTTCGTTGATAAGTGTTCATCTCTTTATTTTAAAATTACCAACGAAAATACGACGGTCGAAAGAAATATGAAAGAGAAATTGTTAGAAAGTGGGGGAAAGGAAAAAATAAAAATAAAATAAAAGAAGAAGAAGAAGAAAATAAAAATGGAGGACAGTTAGATGGAAGAAGAAGAAGAAGAAGAAGAAGTCACGTGGTTGACGTACGAGTTAAGAAAAATGGCGATTACTCGAGCAGATTCGGGACGAGGTTGAACCACTCTCGGCGAGGGTGGTTGAAATAATAATAAAAAAAAAAAAAACAAAAGTCTTTTTGGACGCTAGCCAGACATTTTCTTTTTCTACAAAAAATCATTTTCTTCTTCTTTCCTCCCGGGTCTTTCTTTTTTTTCTTTTCTTTTCTTTCTTCATCTCTTCGGTAAAGACAGAAGCAGCAGCACCAACAGTAACAGTAGCACCAGGCCTCATGCCAAGAGTAACTCACACACACACACACAGATACACAGACAGATCAGGATAGGAGTTAGAGTGTGCCTAATTTACTCGTAAAACTACTGTCGTCCGATTTTGACGGAAGTTTCATCGAACTGACTGACGAAGCTTGAAAACTTGTTCGAATTCTTAAAAAGGAAACGTCGTAACACGCGCCTTTGCCAACTCCAATTCAATTCTGGCATGGTATTTTTCCAACAATTCTTTACTCAACGCATGGGAATATAATATTTTTTTTTTTTCTTTTTATGCATTCTCTAAGAATATCAAAAAAGTTCGACTAAAGTCTTCCCATCCCTCCCCGGTCATGTTCAAATACCGAAATTTGTTTTCTTAAGAGGAAAACAAACGGAAAAAAAACATGAAAAACAACGACAAATATTTTTGTGGATTGGTGAGGGGTAGAAGGGGAGGACGCATTCATTCGAATCATTTCGTATTGAGTGGAATTACAAATGTGACTTAAAATATAAGCATGGAAATAAAATTAATCGACCTGAGAAATGACGAAATGAGAAAAAAAATTAAATTAGGTTCGTTGGATAAAAGAATTTCATTTAGGCCAATCAATTTTTCTCAACGTCATTTTCAAACTGTTCGCTTTTTTT